CTACCGTAAAGGCCAGGCTCCCGCCGCTCGGCGGCTGGGAAGAGGCACTTCAGTCGTCGCGCGGCCTTCTTCGCGCGACGTTTCTTTATAATGTCCTACCGCACTAGCAGTGAAATAAAATCATCTTAGCCTTCCGACACGCATTGAGAAGGGCTTATGGTGTCTGCTCCATACGGACGTTGATTATGCTGTCGGTCTCCCAATTTGTTTCATCGCTATGACCTGAGTGATCGTGGGACGAACCAGCCTCTATGTTTGTGGCTGATTTGCGTGCGCTTTGGTCCGCATCTTATGTGCTAGCTATGCTGCTGACTTTGCATGCCTTTTTGTTCGTGCTTGATACCATTTTGCCCATCTGTGCTTCTCGTTAGGTTGGCAGTAGATCAAAAACAGCCCAATTGGCTTTTGGTATGGTCTTGGAAAACATTTTATGGCTTGAATAATTAAATAAATACCAAAAAAGACATCCAGTATCGACGACATCACGTGCAAGCGATGGAGATGAGAGTAGATGAGCCGGAAGGTGCGCTATATTGACCCTCCCTGTCTCCGACAACCGGCCAGCGTGACAGCCAGACCGCGCCTCTGTGCCTTGTGCTGCACCGGCCAGTGAAACTGTGTCGCGGGCGATGGAGTCGAGCTCGCGCTTAGCTGACCTGGGAGGTCCGTCTGCTAAGAGGGCACCAGTGAACATGCTCGCTTACCACGGCTCGGGCAAAAGCGTCGGAGTGCTGGAAAAAGCGGTGTCGGAGTCGTAAATATAGGTTGTACGGTTTGCAGAATCAGTTGCCTCTCATGACTTTTTTCTTTTCAACTTCATAAGGAAAAAAATGATCAATCTGTGAACGCATGCGCTGATAACAATTTGAACGCATGATCACGGATTTCGGCCGTTCATATCTCTACTGCTTTGAACGGGTTAGGCATATGGTCTATTAAAGTATGTTGATTTATTTTTGGTTATGTTGGGCAGAATGTGGTTCTTATAAAAAGTGGCATTTGAAGGTCAACAAAATTCGGACAGCGTGACTATCACTGTTTTCGCGTTTTGTCCCAGGCTGTGGGTGTAATGGACTTAAACGTTCCGCTAAGGACAAAATATTAAGAATGACACGAGAGGTTACCAGGCTCTCATGTAAACGTATTAAGGTTTTACAAAAGCTATTACACTGTAAAGAGAAAATTGCTAGTAAAAATAAAGACATCACATGAATCAGAGGAGTAAATGGCAGCCTCCTATGTATTGAGGTAACAAACGATTTTTTGGTAGGCCCAACCCCTTCAACAAGGCCATGATGGCGGCGACCACCGAGGTAAATGCTTTCGGAAGGCTGACACACGTACGACGCAGAGGCTCGTCAATGGCGTAGGCCAAACTTTTGGTAGTCTCGTGGTAAGTGATCATAAGTGTAGGGACCGGGGATGTCAGAGGGATGGGGGGGGGGGTGAACCGAGGAGTTCAGGGGTGGGGGTCGCGACCACTTTTGCTAAAAGCTTGACCTCGAGCTAGCTCACGGTGGCGCACAGAGGAGCAACACAAGGGATTTGGCCCCTCAATTGTCGGAATATTTTTTACGTTCCTGGCGGCGTTTTCCCTGAGCTGGCTGGAGGCAGGCAGTCTCTGTGAAATCATTTGCAGTGAAGTCGGCTGCAGGAAGAATGAGATGGCAATAATCACGCGATAATTTCTGACAGCACTGAATAACCGAACGCTCGTAACCTCTCGCCTGACATCTCTCCGTCCACCGACAGGCGTCACGTCCCGAACGGTCTCGCTAAGAGCTCGCACAGCTCGCTACCTTCAGGTGGCTGCGTGTGATAGCGCGATCTAGATACACGGTATGCATCTTTGCTGGTGCCTTGCCACCTACAGATATTTGTCTTGAGACCAACGTGATCCCCAAATCTCCCCAAGAGCACTGGAGAGCACAAAGGCGTCCAAAGACATGCGTTCTTCGATGGTCTCATCTTCGGCTGCCCTGTGCATGTTTTGGAGCCCGGACCTGATCCGGCTTCAGCTATCAGGTTATGAGCCGATGGAAGTTTCCGGCACTCAACAGCATTGAGTGCCGGGCTTCTGAGCCATATCTGGACTTCTGAGCCATATCTGGACGTTCTGGTTCAGGATGAGCTGAACGGCCCGGGTTAAGACGTCGAGTCATTTGGAAGTGGCAACTATAGCCCTTAACACCTACCGGCTCTTCAGAGCGCGGGGTGAAGTGCACCGAAATCTGTTATGCATCCGAACAGGGGATCTTCAAATTACTATTCTATATTTTCATCCTGTTTCACGACGTTGAAAATTGCTTGCCGTGTCTCTTTGAAGAAGCTGCCGATGGTGTAACTCGAAAACAGGCTATCGTGTAAGGTTTCGTTGAATCAGTTCGCCATATGGACGCCTCAAACAGCTTGGCCCACGGGTCGGTGCATCCGCATCACATAAGACGGACCACAGTGACCGGTCATTAAGGTGCGCAGCGCATATTACATGCTGAGGTGGTCTGTTTATTGCGGGAGCATTCCTGTGACCCACACTGGCGGCTACAGCTCTATCGCAACAGCGCTATTAACTGATGTTCAAGATGACGTTAAGCGGCTGGTGAGACTTGAGGATTTTGCCGGCAAATAACGCCCGGTTTGAAAAAGGGAGTTGCGGCGTCAAACAGTGGTGATCACCGTTAACTTTTCCAGTGCATACGCTGTACAGTTATGGCGCCAGCCCATTGGCTCTGTGCGGGTTCTGTACGTTGGATTTTTCAATGCGCAACCTGGAGAGAAGATCTCTGTGTCTCCCTCCCCGCCAAAACTACAGAGCCTTCCAAACCACGCCAATAAGCTGTACTGTAAGCGCCTCCGCGCGGTAGGGATCCAGCTTTAGACGTGACATCGCTGGGTACGGCAGAAGCACGCGGCCCATCCCATAAATCACTTTATGGAATGTATTAGGCGGGCCTTAATGCCAGCGCTAAACCCATGCACTTTGCGTCGCTATTGCGGACCGGCTCCATGCGCTCACACCAGCACAGCGCACTGCGTTGTCAGCTGGTGATCACGTTGTCGAGAGAACGGGCGCTCGCGATAACGTCGCTCGTGCAGTCGGCTGCTGCTCGTGCAGGCTGTAGGAATGGTGCACTCTCGACAGCTAGAGCTTCGAAATACTTGCCTGCTGTGGTAGGTAGCGCGACATTGCCCGGGTTTCTCGGACCCTGGCTTTATCACGTTCTTCGCTGATGGCTTCACTGGAACTCACTCGGCTGTGCCTGCGGCAGAGGGAATAGGACGGAGGACTGCAAGTCGCAGTCCTGCAAGCATAGGTCTTAGCTTCGAGTCCCGTGGAAAGCAGTCTGTTGGAACCAGACATACACATTGCGGACGGCTGATGATTGGGTCAGCTAGGGTCGGTTTGCCTCAAGTGCAGGCGTGGTACAGCATTGTATAGCACGAAAAAGATCCTTGCGGGATTTCTCTAGCTGAATTGCCGGAGGTAAAACTATCATTTGAGTTGAAATGGCAACAACGTCCACTAAACGTGCTTTACGATCGGTTAGAATATGCGGTGAGCTGCTGCCACAATTCTGAAAGATAATCCACTTTTAGAATCAACATAAAGTACACACCGCTTGCAAGAGTATCCATTGATTCCTTCGCAGACAGAGTGGAGAATTTTTCCCAGCGGCTTCTCTTCAAGCATATCGACAGACCCTATGCACAGACCTTAGCTCGATCTAGCACCGTCCATTTTCAAAGAGAGATGACAGTTTTATGACACTTTTTACCTAATGTATCACCGCTGAAATGATGGAACACATATGAGGAGAAATCCGTCAAAATAGTACGCGAACACCACGCCATAGTTCCTCCTATATTTCGTGGGCGTTCGTTCCAATCTTTGCTGAAAAGATATTGCATTCAACCCATCCTTCAAGTAAAATCACCCTCGGTGATGTATGGACGCGACAGAAGCCCCGAGTTACACCGTGGCGTCAGATTGGGCCGCTCGCCTGGTGAGTCCTGGCCGGCTGGTAGCTGTATTCGGGCTGACCTTCCTACGCGTCCTAAAGGCTCAAATCTACGCTGTTCTTTTCACAGAGCCGACGCACATTGCTGGGGACTTATGCCGGATGCACTGTAGCATTAGCTGCCACTGCGTGTTGTTCGTCTTTGTGTGGTCCTACTCGTACTCGGTGTACCGTTTCGTTAGAAATGTTAGCGAAGAAGTTCTCTCTCGCCTATCGGGGTATGCTGGGGATCATCCGGACTGGGGCCGTTTGAACTTTACGACGCACTCAGCTACTGAGGCTATGTGGCGTCGCCCGCCTCTCATCCTGGCAGGAAGAGCGGGCTTCGCGGGGGAATCGAACCCGTACCTCTGTTTCCCGGACGCGCGGTATTTAACGTGGGCGCGTTAACCACCACACTATCCGCACCCTGAGATATTCCTGACTGGGACTTATTCATACTCATCAAAATGTGCGCAAAATCTATTACGTTGGTGATACTCAACCAGCCTGTTTCAGACATCACTTCAAGTTTAATTGTACCCGGAACACCTCCAGGCTGATCGCGTATATTAAGCCAGTCTACGATCTGCTGGGGCTGGATACGAGCACCGCATCATCAATCACCTTGCGTGTGTCGACACCCTGAGCCTTTGAGTTTAGCTCCTGTCGTGAGTGTCCAACACTTGTCTTCCGCTCCCCATGGGTCCTGGCACTGTCTGCCATGTGCGGGACTGCTGACCTCGTCACGACCCCGTCTGACCCCTGCGATGTCTGACTCCTCTCATATGTGACCGCTGCGGTGCGTGCCCCCGCCGCAAGCGACCTCTGCCACATGTGACCTCTGCCTCGACCTCTTCCGCGTGTGCCTTCTGTCGCGCGTGACCTCCGTCGTGCGTGAACTCTGCCGTATGGGACCCTCGCTATCCGTGCCTCCGCCGTGTGTGACTGCCGCCATGTGTGGCGGTTGTCCCGTCTGACCCCTGCGCCGTCCTCCAGCAGAGGCGGGGCGTCGCAGCAGCTGTCGCTCTCCGTGCTGCTGCCCCCCGCCGTGTGCGCCTGCTGCCGTGTGTGACGGCTGCCCCTTCTGACCCCTGCGCCGCCCTCCAGCAGAGGCGGGGCGTCGCAGCAGCTGTCGCTCTCCGCGCTGCCGCCCCCCGCCGTGTGTGACTGCCGCCGTGTGTGCCTGCTGCCGTGTGTGCCTGCCGCCCCTTCTGACCCCTGTGCCGCTCTCCGGCAGAGGCGGGGCGTCGCAGCAGCTGTCGCTTTCCGCGCTGCCGCCCCCCGCCGTGTGTGACTGCCGCCGTGTGTGCCTGCCGCTGTGTGTGCCCGCTGCCGTGTGTGCCTGCTGCCGTGTGTGCCTGCCGGCCCTTCTGACCCCTGTGCCGCTCTCCGGCAGAGGCGGGGCGTCGCAGCAGCTGTCGCTCTCCGCGCTGGCCGCCCCCCCGCCGTGTGTGACTGCCGCCGTGTGTGCCTGCTGCCGTGTGACGGCCGCCCCTTCTGACCCCTGCGCCGCCCTCCGGCAGAGGCGGGGCGTCGCAGCAGCTGTCGCTCTCGGCGCTGCTGCCCCAGCCGGGCATGTCGCCGCCGCTCGACGAGTGGCCACTGACCGGGACAGTCCGCTGAGCGGCGCCGGCTTCTGGCGCTGCATCATGGCCTGCCACAGCAAGGTCGGACAGCAGATCGCCAGGAAACGGGTCAGTGGCGCACGGCAGCGGCCCGGCAGCGGGGCGAGCACCGCAGCAGCGAGGCAGGGCCGGCTGGGCGGTGCGGGGGGAGGGGGCGGGGACGCGCAATGGACCCGGTCAGCGGTCTTGCGAGGCGTGGCCGGGTCGATCGGTGGTTTGGTGCGGTGGGAGCGTAATAGGTCAGGGTGTCATTAGGCCCCCCAGCGGGGACGCAACAGCCATCGGACGTCGCGCCAGGCGCCGTTCAGTGGTGAGGAGACAATGCATGTATTATACGCGTCCCAGTCCGCTGAGATCCGTCCGGCGGCCCGGACATAGGCTAGCAGCCACTGCAGCGGCTAACTTTTCCATGGTCAAATTCATACGCAAACGTAATTCCGCTGATCTACTGCAGCAGACGGAACATTCTGGTCGGCTCCAGCAAATTCGTCGATCACTGTGAAGTGCCGGCCATCTAGCACGGACGAGGTCAATCACTTAACATTCCAAAAGCTTCCCCGCGCTGGAAATGCACGCCAGAATTTGCAGCGCGATCATTGATGTTTGGTGTGCGATATGCATTGGTCACCCATACCCCCTTTTGTAAGACGTTGATCCCAGACGAGCTCCTAGGCGACAAGAGGAGATTGGAGCCGATGGACGATATTTAAGGTTGGTTACTTCGGTGAACGCCGTGGGCGTAGAGGGATGGGGAGGGGGCTGAGCGGCACTAGGCAGAAGCATGATATCGAAGAGACTTATTCAAAATATTGTTAATAATTGTATCAAAATGGAAATATAACGATGTGTTTTATCATTTGTTCTGAATTACTAAAAACTTAAAAACGGCTTATTCCGCCAAATCCGGCACTTACTTTAAAGGAGAGTTTCGCTCCGTGGTTTTCTACAATGCCGAATGAGTCTGTTTTGGGCCTCCTGAATAGGTTTCGTCTTGTCGGCGATTCATCGGTTGCTGTCGAGACTACCATGCGCTAGCGAGAGAAAGAGAGGGAGAAGGAGAGAGTTAAAGAGAGAGCTAGAGAGAATGAGAGAAAGAAAGAAAGAGAGAGAGGGGGAGAGCGAGAGAGAGGTAGGGACAGAGGGAGAACGGCCCGTAATTACCGCCATGCCGGTGACTCCTTTTGGGTACCGTAAATAACTTGTCTTTCGAATCCGCTGAGTTTAGCTTCCCTGTACTGAGCACATTTTTCCCATTTTTTTTAAATAAAGTGTTGCAATAGAGCTCTTCAGGTGATCGAAAAACTGCAGATTCTGGATTTCTATATCGGCTGGTTTTGAAGAAAGTGCAGATTGCCCAAGACTGCTATTTAGTACTAGACTGAATTCTGCAATTTCTAACATAGGTGTATGCGGTAGATTGAAATCAGTAAATGATAACAGACATAAAATGGTACTTAAAAAGCGAAGTTAGACATGTTATGGATAAAAGCTCTGAATGTCCTTAAGGGACATTACTTTTCATAACAAGCCACGTAAACGAAGACAACGCGGTTCATCCCAATATTTCAATGGCAACTTTTTAGACTAGTAGATGGCACTGACAGATTGGTGTCAAGAAGTAACGAGCACGATAAGTGCGTAGTGATCCATCGTAGGCATCGGCGCATCGTGTCAATCCGAGACCAAGAAATTTGACTACAAGCCGGTTACTATAATATCTCGGTAGCCCTGTATTTATTTTATAGTTCTTCCCTTAAAAGACGGGACCAAAATGGCGATTGCCTTGATAACTGCTGTTTTACAAAAGAGTAGCAAATATAATGCTAGAGTTATACAAAATACTAAGCAGCAAATGTGTATCAAAATATGTTGCTTCAAGTAGCCGCAGGTATGCAATTGCTGAAACAACCTCACATGCAACAAGAACTATGCTTGGCTAGGGTGCGAGGGCGTCATAGTAAAAAATGATAAAACTTTACCTTCTTTCCCCTACTGCTAAATCTCACAGTTGTCGGAAGAACTCATCTCCCTCTTCCCTTTCATTCATCCCTCTCTAACACTCAAACTCTCCCCCCCCCCCCCCCTCTCACGCACCCCTCTTCGCCTTGTCGTCTTGGTACCTTCCGTGAGGCCGTGGTATGCCATTGTGGCGCCGAACGAACAAACTTACCATGCTTTAGTGCAACATTTATTTGCAAGTTATGTACGCTCGTTTTGTGCTATAAGATTTGCGGTGTACTCTAACAACGCTTTCTAAATTCTATGTGTTTTCAATGCCCGCGTAGTAACAGAAAATTGGTCCTGCCTCCTGGGCTCCACATTTCTTAAATGCAATGTTTTTAAACCTTACATTCATTCTTCACCGCCCAGCTCAGTTTCGACCAAAACGTATTAGTTTCACGGTTTGGCGGTCTACAGTTACTCCCCGGGGAAAGGCTGCCTCTACATTGTTGCAATGCAATGTAACGTTGCGATCGCATGCCCTGGATGACTCCGTCGGATATTTTCTCCTGCACGCGAGACGGCACAGCTTTCCCGAAGGTTGTCTCCGCACCCGACTGAAGTGCTATAGCTGTGGCCTCGGTGCAGGGACTAGTGCCGTTTGATAGACACATGCCGTCTTTTTCCTACACTGCCTGGGCGGAATCAATGGAAGGGTGCGACTACCGACCAACCCTTCTGAATGTCTCACTCGTGTCGTGACGGCGCCCACTTCCGGCCTGGGCGGATCGATAGGGGGATTCATATTTGATCTTCGCTCCCGCCGGCCAAACTTCATCAGCGCGAGGATAGGCTGGCAACCTTCACGGCTTCCCTGAAGAGCGTTGGCCAGTTGGAAAGCTCTGATTGTTTCTTTTCGAGCGATCATGCGAAGTTAATACGTGATAATCATGTGAATATAATCGGATGCTGAGAAAGAGCCAAAAGCATTTATCATAAGCATTTCAGCGGAGTGGATGCCTGTATGCGAACGCTAAGCTTATGTGTAACAAATCAGGGGCATCATGCACGTTGTCGGCCACGAACTTTGAAAGTCTACTTTCCACACAATATGCGTGCGTTTTACTGTATATGCGTCTTTTGGGATGAACAAACACTCATGGACAGGACTTGGAGAACCATTTACAGCCATTGGCTAAAAAAAAACGGATCAGGCGGACGAACATGACAACGACGCACGTGATTCATGGGCCGATATCACTATGGTAAATTACATTTATCGGATAAATATCACTCGCTATACATAAATATTGAGAAAAAATATTAACTTTGTCAGATATATATATATATATATATATATATATATATATATATATATATATATATATACATATATATATATATATATATATATATATATCGCTCTCTCGCAAGATATCGCCAACACTCAGGCATTTACGAGCTTACTCGTCGCGAGCACACGCTGTGACAACATCACCAGATCACCAGCGCATCCCCCAGACCTCCAATGACGGGATGGAGCAGCCTGCCACACTGCCGACGCGTCGGTGCTCCGACCACAGCCGGGATAAGCTGGGGCGGCCGACCGTCGGCGGTCTGTATCGCCTTCATCTCGCCGCGTTTCCCGTCTGCACGCAAACGAAATCATCATTAGGCGTGCTCGTGGTTGGCAGAGGGCTGCAGCCTCGCTTCACTGCTCTTCCAATGTGCTACTACGGCGACAGAGGCTCGCGGTGCTTGGCGCCGCCGTCGAGCGTCGGGGATCGTCAGCCGTCAGCTCCGCAGTTGTGGGATCTCTGCTGGAGGGCGGCGGGGCTGAGGTCTCTGTCAGACGGAGATCGTCAGCCGTCAGCTATGCAGTTGTGGGATCTCTGCTGGAGGGCGGCGGGGCTTAGGTCTCTGTCAGACGGAGATCGTCAGCCGTCAGCTCCGCAGTTGTGTAATCTCTGCTGAAGGGCGGCGGCGCTGAGGTCTCTGTCAGACGGAGATCGTCACCCGTCAGCTCCGCAGTTGTGGGATCTCTGCTGGACGGCGGCAGGGCTGAAATCTCCGTCAGACGGAGATCGTCGGCCGTGGGTTCCGTAGCTGTGGGATCTCTGTTAGAGGGCGGCAGGGCTGAGGTCTCCATCAGACGCTGGCGAAGCTGAGGCCTCCGTCAGACACGGGTGAAGCTGGGGCCTCCGCTAGGGACTGGCTGGGATTAGGCCTTTGTCGTGGACTGGGAGAGTGCGAGCTGCTGAGAGAGACTGGGTAAGCTCACACCTGTTGGAGGCGGACAGAGCTCATATCTCGTCAAAGACGGAGGGAACCCCACATCTCGATTAAAAACGGTCAGAACTGCTTAGAAGACAGGTCCCTGTCAGGAACAGGAAGAGGTCGGTGTTCTGGCAAAGGCCGTCACGGCAGAGGTTTCTGTCAGAGACTGTTGCGTATTAGGTAGCTGCCAGAGACTGACAAAACTCGGGCCTTTTTAAGGAACAGGTAGATCTCAGGCCTTTCGGGACATCCAGACCTGCGGATCGTAGATGTCTTCTAGGAACTGGCGAGTCTTTGGAGTCGCCGGGGGTCACGCCCCTGTCGACTGGCGGACCTCAGGTCCCATCCGCGGCCGTCAGTGCGCTACCCGGTCCACATTCCGGCCGAGCGGTACAGGTCAGGGGTTAGCAGCGGTACAGGTCAGGGGTCAGCAGCGGCACAGGTCAGGGGTCAACAGCAACACAAGTCATGGGTCAGGTTGACACAGGTCGGGGGTTAGCAGTGGTTAGCAGTTAGCAGTTAGCACAGATTGGGGGTCAGCAGCGGCACAGATCGGAGGTCAGCAGCGGCCAGGTCAGGGCTCAGCAGCGGCGCTCCGAGCCTCATCAAAAGCGCCGCCGATGCCAGCCAGCCGCCCGCCCGCCCGTCTGGCATTTAGTGCGCGCCGCCGGCAGCGACGCGTCGCCATCATACTTATCACTGGGGAAATCAGCCGCGGCGCCGGCGCCGCGGCCGACGGGCGGCGTTCATGAAATTTAGAGCCGTCCGCCCAGAACTGTG